AGAACATCCCATTCCCCTGCCCTTTTCATTTCCCACTATTATTACACCATCGTCAATAAGAAAACGATAGATCTCGAATGCATTGCTGTCTTAGTATATCTATACATACATCTCTAAATTCGAACGAATAATGAACAAATGTAGTCACATCAGGCACTGTTATCCGAATCAAGACAAAATACTTATAAGAATATTCCTGTACATTAATCGCTGAACAACTCATTTGTATCGTTGCATTCAATGATAATAACAATAATAATACGGAGTACACAATAATATCCTAAAGATTGCCAATGGACAATATGGAATCTCATCGAACAGTGTCGAACATAGGGAATGGATAATTTAAGGATTGACGAACCCAAATCTCCCAGTCCAATTGCTCCCATTCGTAGTTCAGGGATAATGTCATCTGAAAGTTCCGCAGCCGGATCCTCCTGATCATTTCTTGCTTGGATTTTTCCGAAGAAGGCGAGAATAATCTCCTCGGTTGTCGCATAGTGACGAACAGTTTTACAAAACTGTTTTAAACATTACTTCCCGCGCGATTTTCAGTTACCCGATGTCGCCACCACGCGGTCACTGTGAGAGTTACTATCGAGTCGTCGATAAGACAGAGCGCGTAAATTCAAAACTGGAGTATTTCTCTTAATTATTATAAAATAGAATAATACATTTTAAACGTGAAGACGCGAATGTTGTTTCTAGGGTCGTATATTAAATCCTCGGTTTAAGTATTCACGGAGTTGACCTGATAAGGCAAACATGAAGACGAGGATTCGGGTGTAATAAGCAGTCGTCGGTCCATAATAAAGTCCAGTCGTCTCGCGAGTTCCGGCGGACTTCTTATTAATTCAGACGCGGAGGCGGAAAAGCAAATACTTCCGAATTATTCATAATCCCGATGCCTTCGGGACCGGCATAATGGAAGTCCGTGGAATAAAAGACTCTTGCCGCGGTTCCGCTGATCCCTTTTCACCGGCAAAATACTCCCATCGTCCGTCCTCTTCTATTCTCTACCTCCAACCGTCTGGGAAGTCGTGCGGGAACGCTCGAAAATGATTTCGAGTACCGAGAACTACCATTACGGGCGTCGAGGATCGCGTTCACGAATTCAGTGCAACGAGCCTCTTCGACTTTAAAGACCGTGAAATTCGCATTCAAGCGACCCCCGCGTTATTTTTCACCGTGGAAAGTCAGTCGTCTTCCATCGGTAGGAAAAAGGACTAATGGCTGGGGACTGTGGTCAGACTTCTGCCAAAAGTGATTTAAATCTGCTTCTTCTCGTTTAAACTCCGGTCTCTCTTTGTCCGTTAAAAAGGCTCTGTGACGTGATGGAAACAGCCAGGCATCTACCATCAAGACAGCGCTTATTTCCCGGATTTAATTAGCCGGCGTGTAAATGCTCTTTCCAATCAAGCCGCATTAAGTCTTTTTAATTCCAGTGCTTTCTCATTTTTATCGATTCAAGTGGGTCTTTTTAGAGATGACGGATGTGGTTTCATTTTCATGGAAATATGAAGTCTCTCTCGTAACAGATTGGACATTAAAAATTCTCTTTTAATAGTTACTGTCGGAAATTAGAATCTTAATTAGACTATACTGATAGTTAAAGCTTGCAATTAGACATAAATCAGAACTAAACTGATCTAATTCTGATTCTATCAGATTGAGCGTTTGATCACAGTAATACTAGAATAAGCATACTGATTAAACTAGGACTAGTTTCAAATCGATAGGTCGACCATCACTACGTTTGTGTTAATTTACTTTCTTATGCATAAGGTACATTATTTCGTAATTATGTAACTCGCATGAGACGTACGTACTGAAATATGGTAGGAACGTGGTCTGACTGAAATTTTTCAAGAGGAACAAGCTTGAGCAGATGCGCTGGAATTTATCCAATCCGCAGATTAGATTGCTCTCCGCGGCTTCCGGCTCCGATACGTGTCCGTCGAGATTATTAAAACATCCTCGTTATTAAACCGTGCCGTTAAGACTACCAAAGAGCACTCATCCCGCATTTCCCTTCGGCCTTCACTATTTTCATCTCTTAAATCTTTTCCGATCCGATTTTCCTCCAATTCTAATTTAATCCCTGTAACAGTTATACGGATATTACTGTGGAGAACCCATGAAAATCTCTTTCCCCCGTTCTGAACTACTATCGAAAGCAGCGATTTGTGAAATCGTAAACGTATTCTACGAGTATTTGTATTTTCTAGAGAAAAAGGGGGTTGTTTATCGAATGCGAGGGGTTGTAAAGTAGGAGCTTTATGGAACGTTACGAGACATTGCCGAGATAGGAAAATATAGAATTTTGTTCGGAGTTGGATACGATTTTCCAGTAAATGTATCCAAAAATTCTGTAGAGAAACAATATGTATTATCGATTGTACGTAATGGTCATAAGAGATTCGTAATGGGTAACGTGATTCTCGGATGAAATATTGCACGATTTCCGATTAGAACTGGATGTACGAATTGAGGTAAATAGTAAAAGAGCTCGTTAGTTTCACGAATTATTCAACTGTCTTAATCCATTTGCATCATTAGTGTATAATTTAGATTGCTAATTAATATTATATCAATTATTAGACATAACATTCTCTCAATTATTGCACCAGTCATTACACGAATTGTTGTGTTACAACAATTATTATAACAAATATTGTATTAATTTCCATTATAAACGAATTTCCATTATAAATGTGTGGCTGGCAACGTATGATCCAAATGGGCTGATTAAACCGCATTTAATCCGCGAAATTTGTGATTTACGTATGCAACAGCTCGGTAAGCTTCGGATCCGATTTAATAAAATGCAGGTGGGTGAAAATTCAGAAAGCAGTAGCCGGAAGGATCAAGCCGCGAGGAAACTTTGGGCCCGTATTTCACGGAGCGTCGAAGGCATAATTAACGAGCATCGCGTCGGAATTACGTCTCGGCCTGGAGAAACGCGACCCTGCTTTCTACACAGGATGTAACGATGTCTCGTGCTAATTTACCCCAACTCTTCGAACGTATCAACACCAGCTTTAGCGACGTTCATCTCGTCCAAGAAGAACAAGAAGAGACAGAAGTTCCTCCCTCGTGAAAGGATCAACGAGCTGTCTGCAATTATTTTCTTACGGGGATGAGGACCGTTTCTGGTAAACAGGTCTTAATTACGAAACGTCTCAGCTACCAGTAATTACGCAATGCCGTACACGAGGGAGTATTCGATAAATCCTTGCTGAAATCTTAAATCAATGAAGAATTGCCAGATTAAGATGTTCAAGTGGCACGTTTGTGTCAATCTTTAAGATTAATGTTCTTCACGATTAATTTTAGGTGTCGCAACCAGAGTAACTCGAATAATTAACATCCGTGAGATCGGATTTTGATTTGTACATTTAATTGGGTCATTTTCAGTTATTGCTCGATCCTTTGAAGTCGTTCAAGTTTATAAATAGCACATACTTTGAGGAGATGAAAGAGTAAATCGTTTTTCAAAAATGGTACAGCTTTTCTGTTAACATACTGCTGCTATCAAGTTCACTAGTTAGGATCTACTTCACGTTTTCTGTGGGATTTGAGACGAGTTAAGACTTACTTCACGTTTTCTTTCCAAAAGAGCTAAATTGATTTCCTGAGAAAACAGAAATATGTCTGGAAAGTTCGTTCCAATTTTTTATGGATAGACTGAGACAAGTCTGAAAGTATATCAGAATAAAAACGAATGTATATAACAAAATAGGACATAAGTAATTTAATAAATCAATAAATATATATTAAAATTTAAATGCGCTGCCCTCAAATTTTCTGTAAAAATCGGAACACACTTTCCAGATGACCTAATACTATATTATTTCATCCACAGTCATATCAAATATAAAATAGATTTTTAAGTAATTGACGCCGTCTCTAATTTAAATGAAGTGCTATCTGAACGGACGACGAGTGAAATGAATGGAGTTCAATTTCGTTTCATTTTCTCAAACGACAGAAAAATCTTCTTAACGATGATTTGCTAGAGAATTTAGTATGGTGCGCTATTTCCCCTTCGTCGGAGGCCTTCGAGGTCCCCTCGTGTTTCTGTCGAGTTTAAGGTCAGCCGTGGAACAGCCATTTTTCCGTGGCAGCGCGACGGACGTAAGAGGATTAAGCCAGTTTTCTTGCCAGAGGATTTGCTGCGTCGCACAGATGCTGCTGCCCCTCATTTTTGACACGCTCTTAGCCCTTTCACAGAGCACGATCCTCTCACCATGCCGACGCAATTAATGCTGGATTATTATCGCTATTTGGACACCTGTCGTTGTCCCAGTTCACTCTCCCTTTTAATTTAAACGATCCCTTTTCTGTTCCATTTTCCAATGAAAATTAAAGAGCTTGAAGTGAATTTATTTTTCGCGAAAACATGGTTTAAAATGTTTAGCCAATTCCTGAATGAAGTTATCCAATTATTCACGCAAAGGGAGCATCGGGCAACCAGTTCAGCAAATACCAGAAAACTCATTTGAAATGAAAATTACATTTAGACTTTCCAGCTATAGGATATTAGTTCGAATTCGAAAACTTTTTAGATCAGCATTAAATCAATTCGAATCCGATTTCTATTGAGAACGGTTAGAGTGCGAGTTCCTATCTAATTTTAATCTTCTCTCGGACAACGTTTCTCGCGGTTCCGGGCGTTGTCAAAGACTGGCGAGTCTCTTTTGTTCCCATCCCCGGTCAAAAGGGATTAGATTAATATCACGGCCGTTGGAAGCTCGACATTTGACCCAGCGATGAAGAACGGGCGGTTCTTTGAGTCTCGCTTCCGGACGAGGCGGATTAAGAGGATGGAGATTAAAAATTACGGAAGTCGAGTTAGGTTCTTCCACCACCCGGAAGATGAAAACTTTTTCCGTGGGTATCCGTCTACTTGGCCGGTCGACGAGTTTTCGCGAAAACTACTTCTCGTGAACCGGATGTGCGAGACTTAATTAAAGATTATGATTTAATAGAGTACTTACAATGTGGGGTACGCGGTGTGGCGTCTTGCCGTGGTAGTTCAACCTGAAAAGAAAAATATTATTTTACTCTTACAATTTCCCTGACTACTGTTTTCTTTCTCTGCGACTCATTTAGAGTAACGACGGGTTTACTCTAATTAATTTATGCATTTGTGGCGGTGATTCGATTAAATTCGTTCAACCGGAGGGAAATAAATTAGGCAAGGAGATTTCGTTAAAGAGTAACACTTTTCTCTTTCCCCGAGAGTCTGCAAAGCCGTGCAACTGCAGCACTTTCCTCCCCGATTCCATTTCGAGGAAAAAGCGTCGCTCATCCGATTCCGGTGATCCCTCTCTGTATTCAAAGCCAAAAGTCGCGCTAGGGTAGGAGTGTCTCGCGAGTGCATTTTCGATCGTTTCCATTCCGCGCGCGACACCGAATTTCCATGGAACTTCTCGTGTCCTCGCGAAATTCCGGCCGGAAGAGCGGGTTCGATTTAAAATGGAAATCGAGAGGGAAAAATAAACGACAAGCGTAAATTACGGCCGAGGGTCAGAGAGACAACGGTCACCTCGCCAATTTCGGGTATCGACCGACGAAACGTTGTTTCAACTCTAATCGATATTTAAAAAGGTTAACAAGCACCGCTAGATTTATACTATTTCCGTTGTGCAATCCTGACTATAAAAATTCATACAATATTTTATACAATAACTGTTTCTATGTTTAATAAATTTGCAACTCTGATATAAAATCAAATAACTAAAATAAAATAAATATCTGGAAGTATTATTTGATGAAACAGAATGGATCTACGCTCTATAATCTACCTGAACTTTTTGTTCAAAATAACTTGTCTGTTGAATACTTTATCGGACACACTGCATTGTGAAAACGCAGTAAATGATGTTATCATCGCGAGTCAATTTATTGCTAACCTAATTAACGTAATCAATGTTCTTTCGTAATTATAAGTTTGGCCCTGGAACAAGCGCATCATAAGTTAAATTAATTAATACAGGTTGATAAACCCGAGTCGAAATAGCAGTTTTCGACGTCGACGACAAGCACGGTTTCAATTTCAGGGTGATTGAAAAGCGAACCGACTGCAGTTCAATTCAAACCAGTTCTGCGCGAAAAGAAAACGTGGGATGAAGTCGTTCGACCACAGGATCACGGGGATCGTGGCCATAAATTCCACGGATTTCCACCGGAAGTGGTCGGCGTCGCGTAATTGAAAACGAGTAAGACACAGGTGGGATCGAAATTGAAAAGCCTTCCGTCGTTCGAATTAAACGCATCGACACGTACACGATGGAGCACACTCCCGCAGTACACATCCGTTCATAAATTTCACCTTTAAGTATTTATAAAGGAATCTGACAAACATTGAATCTAACAAAATCCATCATAAAAAGATTATAATAAATAGTAAGAAACAAATCAACAGTAATACATTATAAGACACTTGAACATAATAAAATATGTAATAAAATGTGAATGGATCATTGCAGAAGTTTGTTTCAAACAAAATAAAAGTGAATATAAACTGAGGATCAAATCGATAATTAAAATAGCTGATTCTAATTGTAAGACATAGAAAGCCTGTCTTTGATTATTGAAATTAAATACCAGTTTATCTGTTCATTTACACTCATATACACTCATTCACTCATTCACATGTTCATTACACTCATATGTTCGAAAACTTATGAACGAGGGTGTACATCCACTCGAATTTCGCCGGAAGCTACTCCTAGACTTCCTACGTTGCATGAAGTCGTCCCCCGAAATTGCATGGTCGTTAGACGCGTGGAATTTATTTTCTCTGGCCAGCCGAATTACCTCGTCGGAGACGAGGTGACGCGTTTGCGGGAATACGCGGAGAATTTGAAGGAATGGCATACGCCGCTGTGTACGCCATGCCATTTTCGGCGGGGGTAGAAATAGACTAGAACGCGTGTGAAAATATACATCGCCCGCGTTTGGGAATACAAGTTGGCGACTGTACATTTTTAAGGATTAGACTTAAGTAATTTAAAAAACACAGAAGAAATTTTAGTACCATTATTTCGTATCATTTTTAACAAGAGCTTTATGTGTATTATTCTCTACGGAGATATACAACGCTGAAAAATGCAAACAGAAAACTCTATATAATGGTCGTCTCGCGAAAGGAAATTATTTTTCTAGATAACTTCTATTCCACGTGACCACGCGCATAGCTCAACTTAAAATTCTTATGTACGTTTGTTGTGCTATCTTTAAAAAAGGGAAACACTGGTGGAAGGAAGTGGAAAAGAAGGAAAGAAGTTTTCCAAGTTAACTGGGTCAAAGAGGGTAGGTGTTGAAAATTGAATTTCCTGATATAATACCGTGAAAATTTAAACAAACGACAAGCATGGGGCGAGAAAAGCGAGTTAGCCGACGTCGATCGGATCCATCGCGCTCGATCAATTACGCTCCCATTCTATTATTCAGTTTCGACGTTACTCAACGAGATTCAATTGGTGCGCATCCGTGTTTCACTGAAAAAAGACTTTTAATAAAAAAAAACATGGACCACCGAATCGGGGGAAAATTGGAACGATAAATTGTATTCCTTCCTTTCTCTTTTAAAATTATATAAAAATTACCTGAGCACGAAAAGAATTATTCTGGTGAATTTAATTCCTAGTACCTTGCGTTTGATTTCACTAGCGATGTACATTCAGGGAAATTGATTTTCCTTTTCGTAAAGCTGAATGACGAATCGTTGGAACGAGAAATTCCATTAGAGTTTCCATTGTACTCTCTATCACATTTACACGAGGGAATTATAACGTGAATCCTTAATTGTTAAAAAAGTTTCTGATTTGTTCCCATTCACAAAAATGTTTTACTATTATATACAATCAATAATAATTTCTCTAATATAGACTCTCTGTAAAAATAAATGATACGCTCGGTTTTATTTTTATCAAAGTACAAAGCGACTCTTCTAGAGAACAATTCTGATCGGGAAATGCAATTGCTGGTATTCAACGACAAGGAACTATAAAGCAATTACTTTTACTCCTTTTTGGTAATCGATTGCTTAGCCAGAGGCCACTACGTGACCCGTGAAGTATCTCCACGAGAGAGCACACGATCCAGACCAGCGTCTCACGTCCTCTCCGTATTTTCTGTATCGCACTGAGAGCCGCTTCCGTCTTATCGAATTCCCAGCGCGGCCACTTCCGCACGATAATAAAATTCGGAACTAATATCCGTGAGGGCTGCGCTCGACCTCCCTTGGGGTGCATCGCTGCACGTGATTCCGAGTGATATTGTTCAAGCTCGCGTTACAAATTGTGCAACTCAATAATTAGCGAAATGAATTAAGAGAGAAAGATAGAATTCACCGAGATGAGATTCCTGTGCAGGATTTATATTAATCTCCTACTTTTAGGATAATTATATGTATAATGTACAAATATATTAATCCTTTCCTACTTTTAGTATAATTATATAATGTACAAGTGTACACTTATTGCTTGACCATTTCATTGTCTACTTATTATTTATCTAATTGTCTCACTATTGTCATCTCATATTATCATCCAATTTATTGCATCTGAAGATTTGACGTACAATCATATGCAAAGAATGTATTTCACATCGGGCTTGCAATTTCTTCAGATTTTTAAAATGAATACAGCTGGCCAGTTTTTTGTTAACTTTCTAACAAATGAAGAGGCGTGTATTGCGAGCGTGTCCGTAGTTCGGGGGTAATTAGATCGCAAGATTGAAGCTGTTACTCGTGCGCAACGCAATCTCGTGCGTGGTAATGGATCCGTGAACCGTGGCTTGTTAACGGGTAATGGTGTCTGTTCGAAACTTCGTGGAGCGACAGCCGCGTGCAACAATTTCTCGCAAGATCTTACCAACCGTTCGTGTACGTAGAGTTTTGGATTCGATGAAACACGATAACTTGAACGGATGGAAAATAGCGTATAAAAGATGGACGATCCTTGTTAATTTCAGCTCATTAGAGGATGTAAGCACAGTTAATGAGACTGAAATTTAACCCAATTTCAACATGAATAAGTATACTTTTATGTAAAATAAAGTATTTGTAGTATTGGGTTAAAAATTGTATTAAACACGATATTCCATTTATCATTTGAACATTGAAATATCTATTCATCTTTTAACATTATGAGTTGTATATAATTTCTGCAAATTCAATTTTCTTATCAGTGCAGAAATGAATAAATGCTCGTTCGTAATTCGCACAAATCACAGTAGAACGTTTGTCGATATTTATTTATCAGGTAAATTGGCAAGCCTACAGAGCTTTGAAGCTATGAAGTCCCGAGATGACCCTGGGGCCTTCCATGCGAAATCGGCCGTGAGTAAATTCGAAAGGCTCGTTCGGATGGAAATGTTCTGTTCTCGAAGTGTGTGTGCCGCCACGATAGGAACCTGCCGCGTCTGTAATTACATCGTTGAACCGTACAGATGCTCGTGTACCCGGTAATGGATACACGAACTACAGTTGTCCCGGATAATGGCATCGCGCACATAATACCGGAATAACGTCACGCACGTCGTTTGGATAAAGTCTGCGGTAGCCGAGTGAAAAATTCATCCGCTGAATCGGAAACATTTCCACCCGCGGGAATAATTCATCGCCTGTGACGGCGTTTCACGCCCGCGAAAAACTCTTTGGGAAACGATGACAAAGTCGCGTTTGAAATTGCATTTAAAAATTGTACCGGAAAAAACGTGCTGGGAAAGAGTTAACACCTTTTTATATATAAAGAATATGTTGCATAATTCAGAAAATTATCAGCGGACTGCGGATTTTACGTATTCATAGGAAAACTAGCGGCTTAGCACGCAGAAACTGTGTACGGAATTCAAGATTTATAGAATAGAATTATTTATTTAAAAATATATTTCAGTGCCTGACTCACGGAATTTCAGTGCTATCGAGGATTTTGTGAACATGCATTTTACCCTTTTTCACGTCTATGGAAGATGGGGTAGTGTTCTGAAATTGATTTTCAGATATTTGTATGGGTATCCTTTGTAAACGA